CTTTGGGAGGCCAGGTCCCCGCATCCAGTAGGAACACAGCCCGTGCTAATTTCTCCTCTTCCTTACTTTGGATAGACCCCGCCTTCAAGTATGATACCCAATGTTAAGTGACACAGTCAAAGACATTATTTTTTTAAATGTAAATAATTTGTTTCTTATTTGCCCTATTTATTGGCTTAAGATACCTTTATTCCATGGCACTGGCCCCTTACAGAGGAGTGCCAAAATCCTGAGTTCCTAGATCATCAGACCCACACAAACAGCCAAGTTAGACAAAAACCCTCTTTTCTTATTTGTACTGTATTTTCCCCCAGAAAACGGAGTGGCCTCGGCCCCTGTTACAGTCTGCGTGGCGAAGAAATACTCGAGGGTGTTTCTTTGCAGTTTTGTCTGACTGATCCGGGGGATGGGGAGGGGAAGCCAGAATGTGACGCTGAGGGCCTGGAAGGACCACATCCTCGCCTGTCCAGCAACCTGTTCTGTAGCCGAAGAAGCCTTGGAGGAGGAGGGCTTTGCCCCTGGCCCAACAGCTCATTAATGGCAAAGGAGGTGCCCTGGTGTCCTGTCCCGTGTTATTACCAGTCTGCTGGCAGCCTCAGAGATATTGTTACTGTGTCTAAAACTTACACTGACACTGCGGGACTTCCCCTCTAATAATGCAGTACTGGGGAGCCAGGACTGTGAACACAGAGACAAAGGACAGAGACTTTGAACTTCATCAGGGAGGGTCGGCATGACACAGCCAGCTGCATTTCAGTCGGGACAGGTGCAGGACACCCCGAGGCAAGGCCAGTCAGCCAGAGCTCACCTGAGATGTGCAAAGGCCCGCAGGTCAGCACGCCGGCCGGACAGGGAGTTTAAATTCCACGGGCACAGTTGAGCTGCACTCCCCACCTCGCTGTTGCTGGGGATGGGACTCAGAGCCATGTGAGGTCTGCAGTGAATGCTGTGGGCAGCCCGCCCAGATTCCCTTCGCAGGCCTTGGTCCCCCAGCTGCTGGGAGGGTGGGAGGCTAACATCTCTCAGCTGCTCTTTCTCCGGAGAACTGGGCCCAGTGAACGGGGAGCTGCCAGGGAGGCTGTGCAGCCCCGGACACCAAGATCTTGCCCAGTGACTGAGACGGGAAGACAAAAGGCCAGCCTTTCCCTCCAGGTGGGGCAGCGCTGGGGTGTGACTCCTGTTCGGGAGCTCTGTGGGGTCAGGCTGAAGTCATGCCGGCTGAGAGCATTCCCTTCATGCTTGCTTTGCTCCTTCCCTCGCCCCTCCTTCTGCCCTCGCTCTCTTCCTCCTCAGAGCTTCCCCACCCGATAATCTCTTGTGTGAGTCTCTCCACCCAGGCTCTGCTTCTAGGGAACCCAACTCTGATGGAACAAGATGCATCACAAATGACCTTAACACGGCCCATTTATTGTGAGTGGTGCTGACTCCATATTGATCCACCAGTGGTCCTGTCCTGGGCTGACTGCCCCACCTCTGGGCCCATCTCCTTCCTCTCTCTGGGTGGTCTGTCCTCAGCACCCGCCCCTGCAGCCGGGCATCCGAATGTGGCTGTTACCAACCACGTGGGGGCTGTGACAGCTTTTGGGGCAGCATCCTACAGACTCAATATCCTTCTTGCTTATTGAATCTCAGAATTCATTTTCTCACTACAGACATCAAATAGAGCCCGATGCTACAAGGCAGCCCCGTGGTTATGAGTCAAGGAGACGAATCACATTGTTCATCCTGTAAAGTTATGTTCTGTTTCGTATCAGTCACATCTGGGACTTTGAATACAGAGCAGAGATCTTTTTCCAGGAGGGGTGGGAAGTCTAGTCTGGCTTTGATATGTGTCTAGAGGTGATAAACTTGGGGTTGGGAAAGACAGCACATCTCCCACCTCCCGTCTCCATCGGCCTTTGGTCCTCGGATGGGTTTCAATATCCTGCACAGCTGATCTCCGACCCACGTGTCGGTCAGCCTCCATAAACCACCTGCCCGGAGAAGCCCTCCATTCCCTTCTGCAGAGGGAGGGGCCGACAAAGAGCCCCTGAGTGGGGAAAGCAGAGCTCTGCAAAGTAGGCACCTGCTGGGGTGAGAATTTATGTAATAGATGCATCTGAATGTTTCTTGATAAATATTAGCCATGGTCGCTTATGGGTGCTGGGATTGTTGCTGATATTAACTTGTTGATCTTATGAAGGATATTTTCTCATTTTCTATGACATAGCACTTGTATAATAAAGGAAAGTTTTAAAAACAATTAAGTAGAGCCCAAGCCGGTTTGGCTCAGCAGTTAGAGTGTCTGCCAGTGGTCTAGGGAGATCGGGGTTCGGTTCCTGCTAAGGGCATGTACCTCGGTTGTGCTTTGTCCCCGGCCCTGGTTGGGTCGTGTGGGTGGCAGCCACTCGATGTGTCCCTTTTGCGTCGATGTTTTTCTCTCTCTCTCTCTCTCTCTCTCTCTCTCTCTCTCTCTCTCTTCCTCTCTCTCCCTCCCACTCTATCTGAATAAAAAATGGAAAAATGTCCTCAGGTGAGGATAAAAAACAACAACAATTAAGTAGAGCACAATTCTCTTTTTAGCTACGTCACTAGCAAGTCGAGCCGCCCCCAGGAGGTTCTAAGAACGGGCTAGAACCTGGGAGTTCTGCAGGCCGCAGTGGTACACTTCTGTCCCTGTCAGAGCAGTGACTGACCTTCAGTAAAAGGCAGACCTGGAGTGTGTCACTACTGAGATGCTGCAAATCACACTGACTGGAGGGCACAGACACCAAGGCTGAACCTGCCAGCACCCGACTTCCTTCACCCGCTGGGTGGTCCCAACTTAAAGTGACCCGAAGGACACAGGCTCCATTCTCACTTTGTAGTCTCCTGCTTGGAGCTCAAGCTCTCAGAAAGCAGCCAAAGTCAGCATAAAGGAGAACTAACCAGCCCATCGGATTTATACATGTGTATGTACACAGGAGTGTGCACACACACACACACACACACACACACACGTGTACACTTGCATTCTCCCCAAGGGCTCTCTGGCAATTCCAAAAACCTTCCCTTAGAAAGGTCTATTGCTGTAGCAATAGATACTGCTAGTTCAAACCCACCCTAATAAAGTATTTATTAGGGCCCACCCAGTGAGTGCATGTATATATAAAGTTATATTAAGTGTCTGAGTGTCTCATTTAGAATCAGTGCTCTCTGGCCCCTTTGGGTTTGTGGCTCATAGAATCTGGCAGTGACAGGGGTGAGTCAAGCAGACCTCGAGTGGCTAGCTCTTAAGTCACCTCGGAAAGGAAGTTTCTGGTGATTAAAAACAACGCCAGTCAGGGCAACAGAAGGCCCACGTGAGGTGTCAGCTTTGCCTCCTCACGTAGCTGTGTGATTGTAGGCACAATGCTGAGCCTCTCTGAGCTTCAGTTTCCTTCTCAGGAAAAAGCAGGGGAGTGACTGTGTGTGTGTGTGTTGTACCAGAGATGCTTAATGTGTCTTTCAGACTTACAAATGCTATGATTGTATTAAAATTGACGAAGGTTAGCAGTTGTTGATTTTCTCCTGCCTGTTACCACAGGGTTAAGAAGAGGGCAGTTCACAACCCACGTTGCATTGGGGCATAAGATGTACAATGAATTGCAAGACTAGGGGATTTGCATTACATTGAACTTGTGCAGTGTCTGGACCACCTCACTCACCTGCTCCTCTCTGAGAACCTGACCTCTGCTGGAGGTAGTCTTGGATCCTGCAGAGCCAGGGGGGCAGCTGGAGCCACAGGGCAATGACCCAGCCCCTTCTTCAGATAGATTCCCACAAAAAAGAATCCTGTTTCTTTCATATGCTAGCAATATCTCCAGCTAAAAGGAGGCTACTTATGTTGCAGGTTCTCGGATTTGAAATGCATCAGAATCCATTGGTGGGTTTGTTAAAACAGACTACTGGGCTCCACTCGTGTCTGGTTCAGTAGGTCCTGGGTGGGGCCCCAGTTCTGCACCTGTCGAGCAAGTTCCCATATGATGCTGCTGGTCCAGGGGCCACACTTTGAGAACTGTAGCTCTAGAACAATATCAAATATTCACTCAAGGGGGAGAGGGAGCCAGGGAAAGCAGCTGTGAACGTGCTTGTTGTATTAAGTCACCTCAAGGACTTCCCATTTCTTCTGAAAAGCAGGGAGGATCTGAACTACTGCCCAGCAGACACTGCACCACGGACACCAGGGGTGAGGAAATCCTGTGATCAGTAACGGTTTAGTCCCCAAGAGTTTATCTTAAAAAGAAAAAAAAAATCTTTTTAATGCCAAAATCATATCTCAGGTTTTAAGACCAGCTATGGAAGTGTGCTCGTATGCTCATGTTTACTCATATGAAAAGGAAATCTACATGCTTTTTAAAATGAGTCAATTCCCTGGGACACCCAGAATTAGTATTGATTTTTCCATTTTGGCACTTTGCTGGGTGCTTTTCAGAGCTAGGGTCAGCGGGTAAAGCGATAAATCACATAAAGCCCTGTGAACCACCATGACAACCGTCAGTGAACTGAGGGGTGGGGTGGGGGGCAGTGTGATGCCAGGCAAAACACTTGCCATCAGAGCAAGTAACTTGGTTCCCATCCCCCACCTCTCCCGCACAGGTAAGGGAGACAGAACTAGCCCTTCTCTAACTTTTTGGAGAGTCCCTCCCTCCACGTTTCAGGGGGATATCTTTTGTAATTCTTGGATTCCTTTTCTTAAGTCAAATAAAGAAACAGCTACAGCCCTGGCCAGTTTGGCTCAGTGGTTAGAGCATCGGCCTGTGGTCCAGAGAGACTCCCACTAAGGGCACGAACCTCTGTTGCAGTTTGTCCCCGGCCCTGGTTGGGTCGTGGGGGTGGCAACCACTCGACGTGTCCCTTTCACGTCGATGTTTCTCTCTCTCTCTCCTTCCCACTCTATCTGAACAAAATATGGAAAAATGTCCTCGGTGAGGATACAGAAAAAAGAAAAAGCTAAAAAAAAGAAAAGAAAAGAAAAGAAAAGAAAAAGCTACACACGCAACTCTGGAGGAAAATGTCTGTATTAAAAGCCAAAAAAAACCACAGAAGTACAAGAAGAAATGTCCACCAGGCCACATCACTGGATAGATCAACTTGGAAAAGGTTCATAAAGTTCACTTTCAGCGGTAACAATATATCCGTGTTAAATCATTCCCATCCCCCCTCCCCCTTAAATAAATTTAAAAACCAACAAACTTCAAATACTATGTTCGGATACAAAGAACTTCTCTTACTACAGCAATAGCAATTCCTCCCCCACCCCAAAACTTTCATTTAAAACAGTTATTAAATATATAAAACAAATACACAGGATTTTGGTCATTTTCTGCCATGAATATAGGGCACGTGGGTGCGGGAGGGAGGAGGGCAGGGAGATGCAATAGAGGGGAAAGGGCCGCGGCTCCCCCCTCGCGTCTCCGCAGCTGCGGACCCCACCCCTCGCGGGCGCAAGGCCGGGCATCTTTTCGGAGCCGGAGCACCGCACAAACCTCGCTTTTCGAACGCCCCGGAGCCTCTCTGGCGACCCCCTCCCCGGAAGAACTAACGGTCACTACAGCACGAAGCACACGGGCCGAGTCCTTCGGCGGGAAAGGCCCCCGAGAGCGCGGACACCGGGCGGACGCAGGGAGGAGCGGAGCGGGTCACTTGGTCGCGGCCCCCGAGGTGACGGCGGCGGCGGCGGCGGCAGCGGCGGCGGCGGCGGCGGCGGCGGCGGTGGTCCCCGCGGGCACTGCGGCCGGGGCGGCGGCGGCGGCGCTGGTGGTGGTCCGGCGCTGCTCCATGCCGTTGGGCAGGAAGCCGGCGATGATGGGCACCGGCCAGATGAGGGCGGCCACGCTCCACACGACGATGACCAGGGTCATGAAGCAGGCCACCAGCGTGGACTCGATGGGCTTGCGGTTCAGTCTCCAGCCCGGCTCTCCCTGCAGCTCCTCCAGGCTGAAGTCCAGGCAGCAGAAATGCAGAGGCTCGCCCTGCAGCCACAGCGGCCCGGGGGGCTCGGCGGCCGGGTAGGCGGGCAGCGCGGTGGGCGCCCCGGCGGGGGCGGCGGGGCGCAGGCGGCCCGGCCGGCGGCCGCGCATCCAGCCGCAGCCCACGCAGAGGCGCAGGTCCTGCTGCGCGCCCCCGGCCGCCAGCCCCAGGTGCTCGATGAGCAGCGGCGGCCCGACGCGGTGGAAGGCGGCGGCGAAGAAGGCGCGGCCGTGCGCGTTGGTGGAGAAGAGCAGCAGGTCGCACTGGAGCCCGCGCGGGCGGCCCCAGCGCACGAGCAGCGAGCTCAGCATCTGCCGCTGCACGCTGATGTTGCACGGCGCCGCCGCCGCCTCCTCCGGGCCCGGGCGCTCGGGGGGCCCGGGAGCCGCCGAGGCCAGCAGCCGCGGGGCGGCAGGCTCGCCCGCGGACGACGCGTTGACGGAGGCGTTGGGGGGCGCCCCGAGGAGGCCCGGCGCGTCTGCGGCCCCGCCGCGCGCGGGCGGCAGCGGGCAGGCGGCGGCCAGCAGCGCGGCGAGTAGGGGCAGCATGGCCTGCGGCGGGCGCCTACACGCGCGGTGCCGGCGGCGGCTGCATGGCGTGCGGGAGACCGGCGGGCGAGCTGACGGCGGGTCCGCGGGAGCTGGCGAGCGAGTGGAGAGAGGGTGGCCGGGCACCTGCCAGCCCGCCGGGGCGGCGCGGAGGCGGTGACAGCGGCTCGCTCGGCGCGGGGATCCTTCCCGGCTCAGCTGCTCTGGGGTTCCCCGCCGCCCCCGGCGCGGGGGCCCTCGGACGGCGCGGCTGCTCTGCGGGGCCCGGCGCTCGCCCGGAGCAGGATTCCCCGGCTCGGCTCCGCCTCCCGCGCGCCCCGCCCCGCCCTCCGCCCGGCCGGCGGGGAGACTGGAGGAGGGCGGGGTTCCACCGAGAGATGTGGGGTACCGCGCGGGAGCTCGGAGACCCGCTCGTGGGCCAGGCCAGGAGGAGGGGTGTCGTCCGATGATCCGGGCGGGGCGTTGGCGGGGTCGGGAAGTCCGCTCGCTAGCGGCCCCGCCACACTGCCCGACTTCGGCTCCAAGCAGGGAAGACACTGGGAGAACCGCGTCCTCCCAGGGAGACGGAAGGGTCGGAGACCATCCCTTTGTCACGCCTCGGGGAGCCTACAACGTCTCGGATGGTGTTCACCTGGACCCCACTCATTTCACAGAGGGGAAACCGAGGCCGAGAGAAGGCAAACGACTTGCCCAGGCCACCCCACGAGCCAGAATCAGAATCCTGGGCCACTAGCTCTTTCTGCTTTTTAAAGGTGTCTTTTAAAACCTCGAATCTGGAGAGTTTGACTGGTTTTTAATGTCTCCAACACAATAGACCCATTTGGTATTCTCCTCACCGCAAGCAAACCCTGAGGAAAATTCCGAGAATTCCCCGGAGTTTGGGGTGGAGAGGGGCCGGTGGGAACGTGCGGCTGGGTGGGTGGGTCCAGATGGGAAATCTCACTCCCACGGAACCGCACCTTCTGTGCAGGGTCCTTGCCTGGCAAGTCGAGCGAACGCGTGTTTAAGGAAGATTTGTCTGTAGAATCCGTGTCAAGGGACAAGTCACCCCCGTTTGGTGAGTGAGTAGGGGAGGTCTGCCAAGCATAACGTGCCACGATCAGATTTATATTTTAGAAATACTTTCCTGGTGAATTTGGTCTTTTGCACTTGGAAAAAAATTTCCCTGATCCTACTCTAAGAGTGGCCCTGCGGTTTGAAGTCCTCGTGCTCCACGGACACCAGCTGTTCCTGGCTGGGAGGCGGGGGCGGGGGCAGGGCCCAAACAGGCAGTCAACCACAAGGCCCTCCCTCTAAACCAGCCAAGTTTCCCCAACAGGACTACATTGCGAGGCATCCTGGCTGGTTACATTTCTGGAAGCTTCTGTTCATTGTTTCTAACAAGGAGTAAAACCAGGTTGAGGAAGATGTAAAAACAGCCCCAAATATAGGTTCCCAAACCTACCTGACCTCTTTCCAGGTGGGTAAGTTATCATTCTGATTTGGCCTTGTTTTCCTGGTTCTGCCTGGCAGAACTGCTGTGGTAAGTGCACTCAGCCAGGTATCTGTCCCTCTGTCCACAGACGTGCTCCTGTGGTGTTTGCCCTGATGGCGTGTCTATCGGTCCAGCCCCAGATGGCTGGCAGGAATGGTTCTTGCTTTATACAGAAATGGTTAATTTCCTGTGGGGATGAGGCTTCCCTTTTGTTTAAACCTTTATCACTCTTCTGCTGGAAAGTGGTTCTACCAGAGAGGACAATGTGACATTCCGTGCTTTTATTAAAAATTGCATGTCAGGAACAGTATCTGCTGCCTGCTGTTGCAGAAATGTTTTGGTCTGAGCCGTGTGGCTGGTGAGCAGCCCAGGAACACGAAGTAATTAATCCCTAGGGCTGGGAGAGGCCCGGTCTTCAAGGAGTGTGTTCTGAGCCAGGCCACGGGCTATAAGGACCAGACGCTCCTAGGGTTCCGGCCAGAGGAGGGGGCTTCCTGGCCTTATCTGTGCAGCAGTGATGGCAGCAGCAGAGGGAGAAGACACAGATCGTGGGGAGCCAAGAGTTCACTGCAAAGTGGTGCCACTGTAGTCCGGTGTCCTGGTGACCTGCTTTCTGCCCACTTTTCCAGCACATGCCACAGACTCCAACACTTGGCACTCATTCAGGGGGATAATACCTAGTTCCTGTGTTTCCTAGGTTGATTGCTGTCTTTTTGGACAATTGGAATTTGGAAAAAGAAGATAAAAATTAGGTAATGTCCTGCCTCATTTACTGCTGTGAAACCAGAACAAGGAAAGTACCTAGCACAGGGCACAGGCTGAGTATTTGTTGATTAAACAAATTTGCCTATCTGCTGGTAGCTCTGACTAGCCACCATTTATTCTGTATTTTCCACATGTCGGATGTTTTGCACACATCATCTCTACTCTTCACAAAAATCCCATGGATGTGATGCCTGTTTTATGATGAGAAAAGTGGGGATCAGAGAGAGCGAGTAACCTATCTGAGCTCCCACAGCAGTGAGTGGCAAAGCTAGAACATCAGCCCAGTCTCCAGTAACTCAAAAGTTTGTGCTTTTTAGAGACCTAGTGGCGTTGCATCTTATGGAGGTTGGGTTCCAGAGTCTGCATCAGTTAAAAGAGTGCAATGCTATTTCATTTTTGAGAAAACTTTTGGCTGAGTTTCTTTTTAAAGGTATTATATTATAGCAGCATATACAACAGTTGGAAAACTGGAGGAAACATTGATAATCCCAGCTACCTGATATCTTTACTTTTCTGTATCTGCATTATGTTTCTTTTCTACATTTTTCAAATTTTCTAAATGTGCAACTATTACTTTTGGGAAAAAAAGAATAAGAGAATGTTATTAAAGTGCCACTGTCTTTTACAACCATTACTGCTTTATCTCTTTCCTTGAGCTCAACAGGAATGTGGGGCACGGGGTACCCGAAATGCAGTTGCTGACTGATTGGGTTGGCCTGCAGCTCAAGTTGTGGCCAACCTGTGCTTAAGTCGTGTCTCCTGGCCCCTCTCTGATCCATCTCCTACCTCTTTCCCTCCTCTCGCCTGCTTTGTTCTAGGCAGACTGGCTTCCTTGCTGTTCCTGGACACACCGAGCAAACTCCGGACTCGAGGTCTTTGCTCGTGTCTTTGCTCAGGTCTTTGCCCTGCCTGGGGCGCTGTTCCTTCTGATATTTCTCTTGCTCGCTCCCTCGCTCCCCTCAGGCAGCTCTGCTGAGATGCTGACTCCTCAGGGAGGCCTTTCCGGACCACTCCTGTGAACCCACACCCACTCCCACCACCCCCACTCTCCATCCTCCAGTGCGTTGTTCTCTCTGCCTGGTCCTACTGTCAGCTGCCACACTGCATGTTTCTCTGTTCAGTGTCTCTCTTTACTGGAATGTCTGCTTCCCAAAAGGAGGGGGTAATCTGTTCCATAGAACAGTCCATGGCACATAGTAGGGTTCAATAAATCGTTGACAGATGAGTGGATTCCATAGACAGCCTCCCCAGCAGGCAGGATGTGGGCGTCTGGTTAAGGAGTTGAGATGGAGAGAGCCATACCAGTCCCATAGCAACAAGACTCCTGCGTCCCTGCCAGCCTGTGGGCCTGGAGCTGCCCCCGGCCCTGCCCTGCCAGGCTGGCGAGGAGCCAGGCTGGCTGGAGAGCCACCTGGCTGGGCAGAGTTTGGCATGGGAGGCAGCTCTAAGGAGCGGGAGCCTGCGCGGGCCGAGTTACTGTAAAGGATGCCCCGGGTGAGCCCAGGCTTTCCCTACGTCAGATTTAAGGAAGAAAAGCAAATGAGACTCCGTCCATTCCCTCAAATCCTGTAATTTTTATAAAACGGAAGACTTTGACAAGTCTCCATTTTGTCCATAAAATATGAGTAGCAAGTTTTTGTACATGGACTGCCTTGTTAGAAAACAATCACTGAGGACTTAAAGGAAATAATTGATCACGTACCACGCTTCTCATCACTTCTATGGCCCTCCCGGGATGCGCTATTTCCCGTATTCCGCCCGCCCAAGCGGACTTCACAGACAGGTCTCTCCGGCTGATTTTGAATTCCTTTCATCCACTGACCTCAGAGTTGCAGGTACAGTAATTCATTAGTCCTCTCCTCTCATGTGGGTGGAATGACGTTATTATTACCACATGTTGTAGACTGAGAAATAAGCAAGAACCACAAAAGTATCATAAAAACGGGAGGAAAGAGGGGCTTAGAGACCAGTGGTTCAACTACATCAGTCACTGGGGAAGCCTGTGGTCTCCGTGTTGCTGTGTGTGTCGGTGCGGGGTGTGGGGGGGCGGGACACTTGGAAGTGGGGGAAGAATGCTTTTGATGCCTGTCTCCTTGAGAAGTCCCACTCCTGGGACAGAAACTCCAGCACTGACCATGGGAGGACCCGAGGAGCTGGGCCTCTGTAGCGGCCCCCAGAGGAGGTCTGGAGCCCTCATGTTCGGCTGCTCAGGTCCTGAGGATCCGTGCCCTCTGCTTCCATGCAGATGTGTGACCCCCAGAGGGTCTCCATCAGATCTCCAGGGAGATTTGCCGCCACACAGTTCTGGCCGTTACAGCCCACACACTTCTTTCGGTGGGACAGCTGCCTTTGCCAGCTCAAGCTGCGACTTGGCTTAATTCTGCCCGGGGCATTCCTTGTTTGCTTGTGGCTGCCCGGTGTGCACGGTGGGCAGGGCCACTGCTGGTGTTGCCTTTCTACCCAGTGATCTGAGTGTCACGCTGGGCATCTGGTAAGATTTCAGCAAAGGCCCTGGCCGGTTTGGCTCAGCAGTTAGAGCGTCCGCCTGCGGTCCGGAGAGACCCGGGTTCGGTTTCCGCTAAGGGCATGTACCTCGGTTGCAGTTTGTCCCCGGCCCTGGTTGGTCGTGCGGGTGGCAGCCACTCGATGTGTCCCTTTCACATCAATGTTTTCCTCTCTCTCCCTCCCACTCTGTCTGTACAAAAAATGGAAAAATGTCCTCGGGTGAGGATAAAAAAAAAAAGATTTCAGCAAAGACTTTTTGAGGAAATAAGCCTCTGTAGTTACAGAAAGATGGACAGTGTCTAAGAGAGAACCGGAGGAGGAAAATGTTACTCGTGTGGTTCATGTCTG